CTCTGCTCCTTTCTACCCTTCACATAACAACCCCTCCCTTGCCCCTCCCTCCCCCACTCATCCACCGCCATGCCCATGGGCTTTGTGCAACGACCCTCATCAGGAGCCTTGAGAACAACAGGCTTCAAGGGAAGCTCCCTGGGAAGCTCTTCACGCTGCCCCTGATCAAGACACTGTATGCTATGCTCTTCTGAACGCAGCTGCACTGCACTCTTCTATATTTCGTTTCTGGCGCGTTGCAGAGGCCGCTCCTCTCCCTGCTTGAAGCATTGTGTGCTGTGCTTGCGCTGCTGCTGCTACTGCACCCTCTGCTCTGCTCTGCTCTGCCTTGCCTGGTTTTATCACTTTACTGTGCAGTCCCCCCTCTTCTTGGCTTCGCCCTTCTGTTCCATCCTCGCTGCTATATTTGCTGGTACGATGAGGTGCACTGCATGCCTCGTATGCTTAATATGCGTCATTTTTACCTCCTGTACCACTCTCCTCCTGCATCACTCCTGCATCACTCCTGCATCACTCCTGCATCACGCACATACAGAATCCTCCGTGGCAATGCTCTTACGGGCTTCACCCCCCCTGGGGCCACCTCCGCGCCAACTCTCAAATTCCTGTCAGTACCTTCCAGCCTCCTCTCAAAAACCATATCAAATCAAACCATTCAATAACCCATCCCTTCCCATCTTCTCCTCCACCCATTCCTTCTTTGGGTGGACGTGGCTGTAACCTACTGCTCCCCTGCTGTTCCCCCAACTCTCCCCTTCCTGCAATCCCCTTCCCCCAAGCACCCCCTGTTCCTCGAGCTCTCCTGCCCTCCCGCCTCTTCCCCCTCCTTTTGCTGCTCTGTTGTGCCATGATCGCTTTTCCACAAGATGTGTGTGTGTGTGTGTGTGTGTGTGTGTGTGTGTGTGTGTGTGTGTGTGTGTGTGTGTGCGTGCGTGCGTGCGTGCGTGCGTGCGTGCGTGCGTGCGTGCGTGCGTGCGTGCGTGCGTGCGTGCGTGCGTGCGTGTGCGTGCGTGTGTGCGTGCGTGCGTGCGTCTGTGCATGGTCATCATGTGGTGTGCTTTCTCACTTCGTGCGCTCGCAGTGACCTAGGCTACAACAGGCTGACTGCCATTCCAAATCCAGTCTTCTCTCTCACCACCCTCCAGCACCTGTCAGTCAACCCACCACCACCGCATCACAGCCGTCATCGTGCTCATCCTCCAGGCCATTCAAAATTTGACATTCTCATAGTTTTGCTGAGCTGATGGCTTGCAATGCTTGCATGCGTGCAGCCCACGAGGCTGCTGGTGGTGATGGCATGACATGGCTGTATTGCCCTTCAGCCGTGCAGGATTGCATATTGCTTGGTGTATTCGGCACCACATGATGAGTGAATGGTGCGCTGTGCTCTTCACTGTGTGTGCGCTAGCCTGTGCTCTCGCCTGTGCTGCTGCATTTGCTGTTGCCTCCGCTGTGGTCTTACACGCATGCATCTGTGCAGGTACTTGATTAGCAACCTCATACCAGGCACATTCCCAAAGACATCCCCGGCTCTTGTCAAACTTGAAACCAATTTTGAGAATTTTCAGAAGTGATTCCAACGCTGTTGCCTCCGCTGTGGTCTTACATGCATCCATCTGTGCAGGTTTTTGAATGGCAACCTCATATCAGGCACTATCCCACTGACATTCTCTGTTCTTGTCAAGCTTGAAACCCTGTATGCCCTCCTTTCCATGCACCAAACCCGGGCTAGGAATGTCCATAGCTCCCCCATCCACAGTTGAACCAGGCTCTGCCCAGTGTTGTGGTTGGCCCGACCAGGTTTGACACGGGTCGAACCAGGTTGGGCCTGTATGTCTCATGTTTTAGTCTCTCTCTCTACAGACCCGATAAACAGGGCTTAGTCTCTGCACTTTCCACAGCGAACTAGCCAGATTGAACCTGCTTCACATACTGGATGGCAGGCTGGCTGTGCTGCCGAGTTGTCATCCCCTCCCCTCTGCCTTTTTCCCGTTCGGATCATTTAATGCATCGTCTCAGGTGGCTCAACAACAATCAACTGTCCGGGGCCGTCCCCTTCCTCATCGCTGCCATGCCCTGGCTTCGAATGCTGTGAGTGTGTCACATACGCTTTGAATCTCTGAGGTGCCGCCAAAGTCGTCTCTCTACCCGCAATTTGTGAGGCGCATCAAAAGCCATGCCCTGGCTCTAGAGGCTGTGAGTGTGCCATGCAGATTAGACTAGCACCCTGACCTGACGGGAGAGGTCCCACCCTCTGTGCGCTGTGTAGAAACCTTCCGAGGCACCTGCGGACGGAGAGAGATTTGCGGTACTCTCTTCTTCCTACTTGCTCAAATCTCCTCCACGAAACTGCTGCACTTCAGTGGCTGTGCTCAGTAATTCTCTTGCTTTGCTCGTCACCTTACCTGGGCGAGCTACTGAGAAACGCTGCAACTCTCCCTCCCGATGCCCCACGTTCTCTGTGTGTGCACGCTGCGCTGCTCTATGCTGCATTGCTCTATGCTGTGCTGTGCTGCACAGGAACCTGGGTAGGAACCTGCTGAGGGGGGAGATTGTCGAAAAAGTGTTTCAGTTCTCGGACTGGTCGCTCTACCCTTCAGCATCCCTTGCGGCAACGGCCGCTGTGGCTGGTCCACCGCAGCTGCAGAGCCTGTGAGTTGAGCTGGCTGTTGGGGCAGAGAGTTGACGTTTGAGTCGAGTGTAAAGTCCACTGCAGCTGGAGAGCTTGTGTGTGAGCTGATGGGGCAATAGGCAGGTGGAAAGACTGCATGCCACTACTGACACTGCGTGTGCGCCTGTGTGTGTGTGTCTGTGTGTGTGCACCTGTGTGTGTGTGTGTGTGCGTGTCTGTGTGTGTGTGTCTGTGTGTGTGTCTGTGTGTGTGTGTCTGTGTGTGTGTGTCTCTGCGTGTGTGTGTGTGTGTGTCTGTGTCTGTGTGTGTCTGTGTGTGTGCGCCTGTGTGTGTGCGCCTGTGTGTGTGCGCCTGTGTGTGTGCGCCTGTGTGTGTGCATCTGTGTGTGTCTGTGTCTGTGTGTGTGTGTCTGTGTGTGTATGTCTGTTTGTGTGTGTGTGTGTGTGTGTGTGTGTGTGTGTGTGTGTGTGCGCCTGTGTGTGTATGTCTGTATGTGTGTGTCTGTGTGCGTGTGTCTGTCTGTGTGTGTGTGTCTTTGTGTCTATCTGTGTCTGTCTGTGTCTGTGTGTGTCTCTCTCCCCTCCTGCACTCTCCTTCTCTCCACCTTCACGCTCTTTCCCTCCATCACTCTCCATCCTCACTCTCCTTCTCTCTTCCCACTCTCACTCTCCTCTCCAACCACCCTGACTCTCCATTACCCCACCACCTATAGTAGCGCACATGATGGCATGCCGTGTTGATGTGTTTCCGCTTCAAACACTTGCACCAGCATCTTTTCACTGTTGTTTCTGTTGTTGGGGCGCCTCAGGAGTAGATGCTTCTAACCCTTGCACAAGCATTCCCCCTCTCTCAATGTCAGCATCAACTATCAATGTCAGTCAGTACCAGCGACAGTTTTAGAACCAACGTCAAAGTCAGTGTAAATGGATGGATCGTTTCTGGTTTTTTTTTCCCTTTTTCCTTTCATCAATACCGATTTTTTTTCTGTTGCTGTTGACAACATCAGTTAACGCAATGCCATGCCTTTGTCAGGTGCCTGAGCGACAACTTCCTGAGTGGCACCCTTCCAAATTCATTCAGGTCTCTCATGTTCCTCAAATACCTGTATGGTTATTGCTGGATACACACTCACATGCACACGCACGCACACGCACACACACACACACACACACACACGCACACACACACACACACACACACACACACACACACACACACGCATTGCATGGCGCAGATCGAGTGGCTGTGCTTCATGTGCTGCACTTCATCCAAATGCCACGTAATACATTTCGTACATGCGTTTCCTTCTGTGTCGCATGTGCTACACATTAAGTGGTTTTTATCCACGCCGGTTGGCACTGTGGCATCACATCACATCACATCACATCACATCACATCACATCACATCACATCACATCACATCACATCACATCACATCACATCACATCACATCACATCACATCACATCACATCGCATCACATCACATCACATCACATCACATCACATCACATCACATCACATCACATTACACATGATGCATGAGCCTGCTGCTCTACATCCATCCCACCATTCACTTTCTCTCCACCACCTTTCTGTTGCTACTCGCAGCTGCCTGCCGCTCCGCTACTGTATATTGTCTCCTCCCAAACACTCATCCTCCCGCTTTCCCTGTGCCCTGCGCTTGCTGAATAAACAGTCAACTTCAGAACAACCGACTAAATGGGTCCATCCCCGAACTTCGCTCGTTCGACTCTCTCAAAGAGCTGTATGTCTCCTCATGCATGCATGCACGCACCCTTGCTAACTCCTGCCTTTCCCAAGCATCTTGTGAGTCGTGTCTCTCTCACTCCCTCTCGCTGCCTCGCGTCTCTTGTTTGTCGTCACCCTTGTCTTAATTTTCAATAGTTTCCCCACCTGCCTGCAACTCCCCCACCGCAGCAGCCATCTTCTTTTGTGCCTGTGTTTCCCTCTCTTCTCTCGTCTGTCTCCTCCCCCGCATGTGCGACGTCTCGCTGTGCTGCTCCGCACTGCTCTGCCATGCCATGCCATGCCATGCTGTGCCGTGCTGTGATATGCTGTGTCATGCCGTGCTGTCCTGTGTCGTGCCGTGCTCGTGCTGTGTCATGCCATGCCATATTGTGCCATACCGTGCCATACCGTGCCATACCGTGCCATACCGTGCCATATACCGTGCCATACCGTGCCATACCGTGCCATACCGTGCCATACTGTGCCATACCGTGCCATACCGTGCCATACCGTGCCATACCGTGCCGTCTCGTCTCTTCGCCGCTCGCCCGTCCTCACAGTCGTCTAGCCAACAACAACTTCACAGGCACCATTCCAACAGTAATTGACGACCTCCGGATGCTCGAGCACCTGTAAGTAACCATTGCTGCTTGTTGCTTCTTCCCCTCCCTCTGCTCCACTCCTGTGACCCACCCACCCCCCTCCCCTTTTCCACCCCTCGTCTCTCCTTCCCTTCCCTCCATCCCTCGGTCGGTCCCCACCCATCCATGCCCTATATCCCTTTCTTTCCCCACCACCTCAATCTCTTATCCACCTCCCTCCTCACCCATCCATCTGCAATATCTCTGTTTCCATCAGATTTCCCCTGGCATTTTCATTACCTCCTCGTGGATTTGACACCATCGGCGTCACCTTAAGCTCTTTTTTTCTCCTCCCCTCTTCTCTCCTCTCCTCCCCTCTTCTCTCCTCTCCTCCCCTCTTCTCTCCTCTCCTCCCCTCTTCTCTCCTCTCCTCCCCTCTTCTCTCCTCTCCTCCCCTCTTCTCTCCTCTCCTCCCCTCTTCTCTCCTCTCCTCCCCTCTTCTCTCCTCTCCTCTCCTCTTCTCTCCTCTCCTTTTCTTACCCTCATCTCCTTCAATGCACTCACTAATTTGTTCTTCCCATTCTCTCTCGTCCGTATTTCCCTCTCTCTCCGCCCTCTCCGTCCCTCCTTCCCTCTCCTTCAACTGCCGCCGCTGCCTCCGCCATCGCTGCTGCTACTGCTGCTGCCTGCTGTCAGGGACCTGAGTGGCAACCACCTCAGCGGACAGATTTTTGTAGACTTCAAAGGCCTTGTCAAGCTCACTGTCCTGTATGCCATCCCATTCCCTCCTCCTATCGTACTCGCTCTGCGCTTGCAATACCTGTCCTCTACCACACTCCGTCTGCATTGCATGGTGCACTTTCTCCCCTTGAGGTGCCTCAAAAACTGCACACGGTGCACTTCCTCCCCTGCTGCACACTGAATAGGCGTGCTTGTCTTTCTCCCAGTCTCTCTTCTGCCTTGCATTCTTCTTCTCATTTTCACCCCTTTTTCCACCCGCAACTTACATCCCCTTTCTTCCCCTCATCCCTCAGTAACACTCCCTTGCTCTTTGATAACCCTTCCTCTTTAATTCCCCATTTTCTCTAATTCCCCTTTTCTTCAATCCCCCTCTTCTCCCCAATCCCCCGCCCTGCCGCCAGCAACTTGCGGGACAACCACCTCACAGGGCGTCTACCCAAACCTCCCCCCAACATCCGCCAGTACCAGCTCGACAATAACTTCTTCGCATATCCCTTCTTCTCCCCGCCCAACTGCTCCGTCATCTCCATCCGCGGCAACTGTGTCCCCCTGTCCAACCTCTCACTCACCTGCCCGGGCGACAAGCAGAGGCATCCAGAGGTCTGCTTGTCCTTCTGCGGCCTAACGGCCTCAAAACCTCCCTGCAGTGACCGCGGGATATGCCTTCTTGAGGGCCCCAGCAAAGTTCCGGTGTGCAAGTGCCACGGTGGTAAGGTGACCGGGGAGTATCGGGGTAGTTGCGTGCCTGCGGTGGGTGGGTTGGCGCTGGTATCACTCCAGCCTGTGGAGGTGTCGTCTGCGTTGTTGACCACATCTGGCAGTGCGAGTGTGGACGGTGCAACCAAGTCCTTCACTCTCACGCCCCTTCAGGCGGGCGCGAGTGGAGCCGTGTTTCTGTCGGAGCGAGTGCCGCTCTTCTCCTACCAGCTCATTGCTGACGGGTGTGGGCGCGAGCTCGCCTTCTCCTCCTCCTTCTCCTTCACTCTCACCCGTGCGTCTGCCACCGCGAGCGGGACCGAGGGGTTTGCCTTTGTGATAGCGTTTGATGCCACGGCTCCAGCAGAGGCGGTGGCAGGCGGCATGGGGTACGCAGGGATGGCCGCGCGTAGCGTGGCAGTGGAGTTTGACACGTGGCAGGATGGGGGGAGCGGCGGCAGCGGCGGCGAACCTGGCGGGAACCACGTGGGAGTGAACGTGGACGGCAGGTCTGTAGCCACAGCTGCCGCCCCCACTCCACTCAACGACGGCACTCCAAAGTACGCCTGGATCGAATACGACCCCTCCGCTCCTCCTGATGCTGCTGCTCCTACAGCTACGGCTGCTGCTGCCTCTGCCGCTGCCGGTTCGCTGCGCGTCTTCCTCTCCTCCCACCCCTCCCCACGCCCGGCCAAGCCCGTCCTGTCAGTGCGTGTCTCCCTGTGCGACATTCTCCAGCCCACCAGCCTCGAGAACAAGTTTGCGGTGGGCTTCACTGCGGCATCGGGCAGCCAGGCGCAGAGGCACGCCGTCTCGGCATGGAACTTCACCACAAGTGAGTGTGTCAATGCAATACCACACGGGCTGAGGTTTGAGGCGCCTCAGAGATTGTGGGATGAGAGACAACTTCTGAGGTGCCTCAAGAGGTATGCCATCTCGTCCTGGAGCTTCACCACGCCGCGTTTGTGTGGGTGTGTCGAATGGGCAGCAGCATGCGTTTTTTAGTCTCTCATGCTGCCTACCCTGCACAGACAGCTCGTGCTACTTTCCTCCCTCCTTTCTCCATCTTTTCCCATCCGTCCTTTATTCTGCTGCTTCTGTAGCTCAAGCTGCTCTCTGTTGCTGCTACTTGTATCCGTCACTAAGCATCTCGCTTTCCGTGCGCTTTTTTTCCTAGTCAATCTCACCCCCTCCCCTCCCCTCCCTTCCCCTCTCCTCCCCTCCCTCCTCCCTCCTGCACCTTGCAGGCTTCCCACAGTCACCCACTAAGCGTGGTGGTAAGTCCCCTTTCCAACATGCACACTTGCACATGCATCCCTTCTTACCTTTGCAAAACCAATAGCATTTTTGTTGCTCACACTCTTCCACTTTCAAAAAAATCCTTCATTGTGATGCCGCGGGCCTAGTGACATAAGGCTAGGGGGGGGTGATAACGACTGCGCGCTTTGTCTCTCTCTTTCACTTGCAACCCCTCTCTCGCTTCTGCCCTCTCCTTCCATCACTCAAGTCACAAGGTCTCAGCATCCACTTTCCCTCACCGAAAATCCCTTCCTCACATCACATCACATCACAGCAGCGTCACTAGGCCTGCGGGTGAGCGAGGCGGCCATCAGCCCGGCAGCGTCGGGCATGAACCTGCTCTTCCGCTACGCCAGCTCCGGCATCCTGCCGCCGCCGCAGGAGGGCAACGACCACAGGAACCAGTACGACGTGCGCGTCACCTCCACGTGGCTCCTCCAGGACCTCTTCTGGCCCGTCAAGACGCAGACTGCCTGCGGTGCGTGCCCAAACCAAACGCCTGAGTCTGAGTCTTTGAGGCAAATGCTTGAGCCTCCGAAGAATTCAGTTTCGGAAAAGAGGACCCCAGACATGTTCCTTTTTTCGTTGTGTGCTAGCTTTGTGTGTTCGTCGCCCTCCATTAGCTCCGCTTACCTCCCTTAAGTGCTTACCTCACTTGCCTCTTCTCGGCCTGCATGTGCCCGCCTCTCTCCCTCTCTCCTCTCACACCACGTTCTCTCCTTCTCTCCTCTTACACCAATTTTTTGTCGGATGAAAAGTTACAAACATACAAGTTATATCCTCCGTACAAAATTACCTAGTCTAGCCAGTAACTATACATATAAAACATGCATATAGTTATATAAGTTTGACACAACTTGTAGGCTAGACAAATGGTAGTCTGTGACCAACAGCAAAAAGCAAACTCGGAGCGGCAGTACCAGTCCAACCTCTGAAACAAACAAGGTTACAAGGCCAGTTCAAATGTTCGCACAAATATAAATATATGATAGCAAGCAACATTGGTCACGACACAAGCGAGGACCACAAGTAAGTAACTTGTTCAGTCTGAATACGGAACTGCTGATGGTCGCAAGGCGGAAGTGTTTTATTGAAGATGTCAGCGGTGTTGGCATCTGAGGCCACTGTAACCACGCATGTCAGGCCGCGCTGCTGCAACTCACGCAAGAAAAATTGCCGCAGCCCAACATGCTTCGTATGCCCCACTAGTTGAGACACCTAACACAACTGGATCATGGCCCTGTTGTTAGCGAAGAGAACTGTGGCAGTACAAGGTGGATCACCCAGGTCGGTGAGCAGAGATGTGAGCTAGCACAACTCCTGTGCAGCCATAGCACTATCGTAGAGCTCAACCTCACAGCTCGAGAGAGCAGCTGACAACGCACGAGTAGACCTCCAAGACATAGCTCCGATAACATGTCGAGTAAAAAGTTGACTAGGTCGAGGGTACAAACATACACGTCGTATCTTTCATAAGAAATAAACAAGTCTAGCCTGTAACTACATATTTATAACATACATACAGAATTTTAGTTTGACACTTCTCTCCCTCTCTCCTCTCACCCCACCTTCTCCCCCTCTATCTCTCCTTCTCCGTCTCTCCAATCGCCCCCAGGGGACAGCTGGGCGTACGCGGTGGTGGGCAGCATAGAGGCCGCCTACAGCATAATGGCGAACCTCTCGGTGGCGCCGCAGCTGTCAGCGCTGCAGCTGCGCTCCTCCATGCGCGCCGATTGCCAGGGCGGCTCGCCCTCCCAGGCCTTCGCCTTCCTCCTCAAAGCCGCCCGCAGCAAGGCAGCGGTCCGGGGGAGGAATGTCACTGTGAATCAACAGGAGAGGCGCCTTCTTTTGAGGCATCTCAACGACGGTCGGGGGCACAGCAAGGCGTTGGTTTGGAGGGGGGGCACTGCGAACACGAAGCAGGTGAGGAGTCGGCTTTGCATGGCTCCGTTTGTTCCGCTGTTCAAGCTGCTTGGGATTAGCTGCGATGGGAAGGGTGCCACTAAGGTATGCCTGCCTGGTTACGTGGTTTCTCCCTCTGCTCCTCTCCTCGCCCACCGCTGTCCTCCGCCATCCTTTTCATTCTGTTCTCTCTCCTTTCCTCCCTTCCTGTCTCCATTACTCAAAATGGGCAGCAGCTGCCATTGTGGCGTGATTACCTCTGTCCGTCTATCCATCTGCTAATCGTCCATCACTCTCCCCTGCATGTCATGGTTAATCCATTATCGCTCCCGGCGATACCAGCAGCAGGCACTGACAGGTGACTTCTACATCACCGGGTTCGAGTCCACGGCCTTCTACGGCTGGTTTGGCCTGCTGCTCGCCGTGCAGCGCCAGCCCGTGGTGGTGCAAATAGAGGCAACGGCACCGTCTTTTCAAGAATACGATGGGGTGGGTGAGCGGGCGGGCGAGTACGGCTGATTCGATTCGTTTCGTTTCCGTTTTGGTTCTTTTTTTTAGTCTCTCCCAGCTTGCCACTTTCCTCCAACGGCTTTTTTGTTTCTGTTGCCCGTAAAGGAACGTTCCCACTCTTTTGACTATTCACAGCCATGAACCCCCCCCCCCCCGAACCCCCCTGCACCCCTCAGCTGCACAAGTACCAGGACCCAGCGTGCTTCACGTACAACCTGAACCACGTGGTGCTGCTGGTGGGGTACCACCTGGCAGGCAAGGACTCGCGCTTCCCCAACATGGCGCCGCCCTTCTGGATCATCCGCAACTCGTGGGGGGCTGCCTGGGGCGATGGGGGCCACATGCGCATGGACATCCAGGGGGGGGATGGCGTGTGCGGCATCAACACTCTGCCGGGGATTTACCCAATTGTCAGAGGTCAGTTTGCTTAGCAGGTGACCGCGTGTGTGTGCGCGCGTGCGTGTGTGCGCTCGCATTGTTGAACAATCCACGTTTCCTTACATTCTCTCGTCTTCCTTCTCCATTGTTCGTTCTGTGCCGGAATATAGAAACACATTACGATTGGCAAAAGAAGCGCTTCATATTCTCCTCACCTCTCTTCTCATCATTCATCCTTCTTCGTGTCCCCTCCACTACTGCACTTTCTCCCCCGTCTCCCCCATCTCCCCCAACACCTCCTCCCCCATCCCCAGCGGCATCGGACCCATGCAACACAGCAGCGAGGAGCGACGCGTCAGGGTCGCTCTTCAACCCGTGCGGCAGCTTCACCTGTGTGGTGGACGGCAGCTCCAACCGCTGCAACTGCACCGATCCCCGGTTCATTGAAGCTACTAATGCTGACGGCTCCCGCACCTGCGCCTATGGTGGGTGTTGGCTTACGTCTCCCATCTCCCACCCCTCTCATCTTCCATCTCCCATTTCCTATGTCTCGTCTCTGTCTCGAGCCGTGCGTCTGCTGTTGCTCTGTGGTGTGGTGCGCTCTTGTGCGTCTGCACAAGAGCGCTGTAGGCTCATCTCATTGTTACAGCAATCCATTCAGTCCATCCATTCATGGATGCAGTGGACGCACTGCAGTGGACGCGTGCTCACCATCCATTCATCATTCGTCTGCTCGTTGTGCGTTGATTCATTTGGATTAAGTTCTTGCTTCTTCTGATCCATCCGCACTGCAGTGGACGCGTGCTCACTATCCATTCATCATTCGTCTTCTCAATAAGCGTTGCTTTGATCCAATCGATTCTGATCCATTCGTTCCTGACGCGTCCGCACTGCAGTGGACATGTGTGGGGCGTTGGCCCGCAACCCGTGTGCGGTGGGCACGTGTGTGAATGACGGGGCGGGGTCGTACTCGTGTGTGTGTCCACCGGGCTTCAGGCAGGGCACCACCGTTGATGGCACCTTCTCCTGTGCTCCAGGTACCTTCTCCTGTGCTCCAGGGACCTTCTCCTGTGCTCCAGGTACCTTCTCCTGTGCTCCGGCGCCTAAACTAAAACTAAATACTGGGCCTTTAATGTGCTCTGCAATGCCCTACAAGCGCCACTCTCTCACAGTACATAGTCCTGACACCCAACACCACCTGCTCAGGTTATGTTTATCTGCTCTACGGCCTCACCCAAAACAACTTCTTTGCGCTCTTTGCCCTGTGCCACGTGCTCTGCTGTGTAACACTCGCCCCTGCAGGCGACACGCGCTCGCAGTACACTGTCCTGGCGCCCAACATCTTCTGCTCAGACATCTATCCCGTCTACGGCCTCACCCGTGACAACTTCACTACGCTTAATGTGAGTCAACGGCAGGCACGGTGCCGCTGCCGCTGCTACCGCCGCCGCTGCCGCCGCCGCTGCTGCTGCTGCTGTGTACCCTGCATGTGATGCCGTGCATGTGATGCCCTGCATGTGATGCCCTGCATGTGATGCCCTGCATGTGATGCCGTGCATGTGATGCCCTGCATGTGATGCCCTGCATGTGATGCCCTGCATGTGATGCCCTGCATGTGATGCCCTGCATGTGATGCCCTGCATGTGATGCCCTGCATGTGATGCCCTGCATGTGATGCCCTGCATGTGATGCCCTGCCTGTGATGCCCTGCATGTGATGCCCTGCATGTGATGCCCTGCATATGATGTGTCGCTTTGGTTCATTTTTAAGTCTGCACGTTCCCCATCTCATCAATCTCTCCATCTGCTCAGCCTCCATCTGCTCAGCCTCCATCTGCTCAGCCTCCATCTGCTCAGCCTCCATCTGCTCAGCCTCCAGTGCTCAGTCTCTGACATGTCAAAAGCTCTCTACTCCCTCCCCACCCTCCCCCCTGTATCACTGCAGCCCGCTGTGAACTGTCTACTGCCCCCAGTAGGCTGGTACTCACTGTCATGCCCAAGCCCAAACTCGCCTTTGTGAAGTGCCTAAAGAATTTCTCTCTCCCCCACCCCCACAACTCCACCCCTCCTGTACCGGTGCAGCCCACTGTGAACTGCATCGAGCCTCTGCCGGTCGGCCTGACGCTCAATGTCACCCTCAACCCCGGACTCGCCCCCTGCACCGTCTACTACACCACTGTCCCGGTAGGCAACGAGGTTGCAACAAGGTGACTTTTGAGTTGACTTCAAAGTCAACTGCATCGAGCCCCTGCCTGTAGGCCTGGTGCTCACTGTCATGCCCAAGACTGGACTTGCCCCCCTGCTCCATCTACTACACTACTGGCCGAGTAGGCAGCGTTTTGTTGGGCTTTAAGTCGACTGTAAGGTCGTTTGCTCCGCTGAAAGAATGTGTGAGCGGGATTCCGAACGCCATATGAGTTGACTCAAGAGGTGCGTTGATGGTTTTCCCGGCGCCAGTGACACGGCGGTTGCAGGGTGGGACGTGTGGTGGTTGCAGGGTGGGACGTGTGGTGGTTGCAGGGCGGGTTTGTGTGGTGGTTGCAGGGCGGGTTTGTGTGGTGGTTGCAGGGCGGGTTTGTGTGGTGGTTGCAGGGCGGGTTTGTGTGGCTGCCTGTCGTGATCTCTCTTTTTTCTTTTTCTGTTGTGGTTCTTTTCACCTGGAACCGTGCTCTTGGATTCCTTCCGTCCTTTTATATGCACCAGCTGCCTCAGTCAGTCCCCCCCTAAGCTGTCTGATTCTCTGCCGTGAACTTACCACCTGCTTGCATGCCTCTCTTTCTCTCTCCCTCTCTCCCTCCCCGGCCTGTCCTCTTCCACCGCCCCTCTCCCATCCCATCCACCACCACCACCACCATCGGCTCCTTCCCCTGAATGAAACCCCCATCGCACCAGGACGACACGTGCCAGTCCATAGGAGCGTACTTCAACCTCAACGACTGCCGCAGCAAGGACCCCTCCTGCGCCACGGTCCTGCAGAGCCTCAACCCGGGCCTCATCTGTCAGGGTGGCACGCAGGTGCAGGCGAACCAGGCGGTGTGTGTGGAGCGGCGAGCAGGGGCAGCGGGGAAGGGGGGGCAGGTGATACCGGTGTGCTCGCAGTACTACCTGGTGCAGAACGCCGAGACGTGCGATGAAATTCGCTCCGTGCCCAACCCGCCGCTCTCCCCGCTCGAATTCTTCCGCCTCAACCCCGGCATCAAGTGCAACCGCCTCGTGCCCGACGCTGCTGGCCTGGACCTGCACACCGGCTTTGAGGTACGGATGGGAGAGGCGCTTGATCTTAAAGGCAGGTTACAGGCAGACTTGACTGTCTATAAACTGGTGCTGGCCTGGACCTGCACTGGGGCTTTGAGGTACGCATGAGAGGGACCGCTTTGGGACGTGTTAAAGTGGGTACGAATGAGAGGGATCGTTTTGAGGTACAAGTGGGTCTGCGATGAACCCTCTGTGCTGCAGTATTGATGGCCTTGCTGTGTTGCAGCAAGTCCCTGAAGCAGTGCTGCATGGCCTGCCTGACCTCACATCGTGCATGCCCAGCTCAGCGCAGCACACTGCATCGCCTGCTTTCTCCTTCCCCTCGCGTTGACTCACTTCCTCGTTACATGTACCTGCCTCTCATCCCATCCCATCCCATACCAGGCGAGCACTCTGGGGATCGTTGAGTCGCCTCAACAATCGCCCCATCACACACCAACTGACTCTTCCCCCTCGCACACTCGTGTTCTCCTCTTGTGCCTCTCATCCCATCCCATCCCATTCCATCCCATCCCATCCCATCTCATCCCATCCCATCCCATCCCATCCCATCCCATCCCATCCCATCCCATCGCAGGCGTGCATACAGGAGTCGGGTGAGTACACGGTGGGGATCTGCCCAAAGGGCCAAGCGCTCACAGCAAGTGGGAGTGACCGCTGCAGCTTCATCCTGATGAAATACTTCAGAGGCATTCGAGGATGCTACAAGAGCATCAATGGATTCGAGTGTGTCGATGAAATACCCGCAGGCACCAATATTTGTCTGCCAGACCAAACCAGGTTTTGCCAAGGAATCTGTACGATTTAAGCAGAGGTGTGCCGTATTGCTGTAGTTTTTGTGTGTAGTATCTTGTAGCCCTAGCAGAGCCAGGCATTTCAATAATAGAGTCTTTATTTAGTTGCACATACCGTCATCCCTCACATATACGACATATATGTCTTATCTCGTACACGGGCAGAAATGCTTGGGTTCTCTTGTACTTGGGACCAGGGCTTACGTTTGAATTTTGGCTACTCACGAGCAGCAGTGTGGCTGTTTCAATAACCCTTCTGAGCAGTGTGTATGTTTTCATTACACTGATGGATCACTGTAACCATGAGTTTCGGTTTTGGTTAGAAGTTTTGGTTTCTGGTTGTAGGACCCACCACACCCCCAAATTCTTCCTGACCCCACCCCCTTTCTCCTTAGGTTGCACGAGAGGAGTGGATTTTTCCCTTAGCGTTTTCTAGCCAATCGTGTGTTTGTAAAGCGTCTAAGTCAGCTTGGAGCACCCGAATTGTCCCTTATTGTCTAAGTGTCCCCCCCCCCCCCTTTTCCTCCTTGGGTTGCACGAGAGGAGTGGATTTTCCCTTAGCGTTTTCTAAGCCAGCTTGGAGCACACGGATTTCCCCTTAGCGTCTGAGTGTCCCTCCCCGGCCCCCCCCCCCTTTCTCAGGTTGCACGAGAGGAGTGGATTTTTCCCTTAACATTTTCTAGCCATCCTGCGTTAGTAAAGTGTCTAAGTCAGCTTGGAGCACCCGAATTTTCCCTTAGCGTCTTTAAGTGCCCCTCTCCCCCCCCCCCCCCCCCCCCCTCCCCTTTCTCCTTAGGTTGCACGAGAGGAGTGGATTTTTCCCTTAGCGTTTTCTAGCCATCCCGTGTTTGAAAGTCAGCTTTACCCAAAATTTCCCTTTGCGTCTAAGTGCAAACTCTTCACAGGCCCGGATTTTAAGTTTTCACTTTGGGGTGCGCCCGTGACCGTTAAGGGCGCCCAAACGCTCGGCTACACCAAAAACAGGGTCAGATGGGGAGGAGCTGGGGAGCGCAAGTATGGGTCCCAGGAACTTCGACAGGCCTGAACGAGACACGAGATTGTTGCCACCAAACAGACTGCACGGAAGGAAACATCACGAATCGACGGGGGGGGGGGGGGGGGGGGGGGGGGGGGGAAGGAAGAGGGGAGGGGGGGGGGGGCTGTACGCTCTTCAGTGTAATCTTTGCTAAGGGAAAGGTACCCCAATGCATCACTGTGGCCTACAGCGTTACACTAACATATCAGTGTAATAGTAATATTCCAAAAAAAAAAACCCAAACACATCAGTGTCAGCCCAAAATTTCACCCTTCTAATCAGTATGGAAGGGTAAATTACACTGATAACGATAGCCCTGCTTGGGACGGTTTTGTCAGAATATATATTTGTATATGTTGTTAGTTATACTAGGCTGTAGTGGGGCACTCCTTAGAGAGTACTGTTGAAATATATTTCTTATATAAACTGCTTGTAGCAGTAGTTAGTGTAGTGTTACATTGGTGGTTCACCTCATTCCCTTGTCCCTTGCACTATATCTTGTATCTTGCTCATTAGTGAATCACCTTTCTCCTTTGCTCAACTATCTCGACATCATGCTAGTACCTTCAACCCTAGCTATGGCTACTAAGTTCTAGTTACTGTTTTGATATGCTATCAGAGTGGTTACTTTCCTAGGACCTTCCTCAATGGGCCCATCGTTCGCTTCCGCTGCTGTTCTTTCAGTCGCGCGCCCCGGGAGCGTGACTATTTTCCTGCTTGTCGCGCGCCCTGGGCGCGCGGCGTTTTTTGCCCACCACGCGCCCCGGGCGCGCGGCGGTTAGCTTACACCCGTGCGCCGCCCCGTGGCACCCGCGCGCCGCCCCGTGCACCCGCGCGCCGCCCCATGCACCCGCGCGCCACCCCTCTGTAGCCGCGGGGCAGCTTCTTCCCCCCCCCCCCCCCCCCCCCCCCCCCTCCTTCCTCTCCCTGCTGCGCGTGCAGCCGTGGGGGGAGGGTATGGGGCTGGCGGGTGTGCGTAATATGCTGCTCCTCCTCCTCCTCTCTCTCCCACTGCTGCAACTGCCGCTGAGGGGGGGAGGGTGTGGGGGCCGAGAGAGTGGCGCTAGGGATGCAAAAGGGGGTGTGGAAAGGGGGTGTGGGACAATGGGGAGAGGTTGAAAGGAGGTAGCCGCCATGAAGCCAGCAGCTCCAGTAGTCCGGATGCCCTTGCTCCGGTAGCCCGTGAGCCCGTTGCTCCAGTCGCCCGTGGGTCAGTTGCTCCAGCTGCTCGTCTAGCCGCGGAGCCAGTTACTCCAGTAGTCCGGATGCCGTTGCTCCGGTAGCCTGTGTGCCAGTTGCTCCAGTCGCCCGTGTGCCAGCAGCCCGTGTGCCAGCAGCTTCAGCTGCCGCCCCCTACCTCTTCTCCTCTCATAGTCTCTCCTCCTCATCGCTTGCCCTCTCCTTCTGCTGCGCTTGGTGTACCCCTTCAGAGGGTGTCTCTGCATTAGCTTCCTACTGCAAGCAGTTTATGGGGTGCGTTGAAATATATTTCTTATATAAGCTGCTTGTAGCGGTGGTTAGTGTAGTGTTACATTGGTGGTGCACCTCATTCTCTTGTCCCTTGCACTATATCTTGTATCTTTCTCATTAGTGAATCACCTTTCTCCTTTGCTCAACTATCTCGACACTCATGCTAGTACCTTTAACCCTAGCTATGGCTACAAAGTTCTAGTTAGTGTTTTGACAGATACCCTAGTTTTAGGTTTTCTCCTTGTTCTTCTCAAAACTCATCATTCATCCCACCTTCCTCCTAAGACATAGTAACTTAGTCTACTATTCTAGCAAGTTTAGGGTGTCTTATAGGTCATATAAATGGACAAAGAACCGTTTAGAATATACCCCCTTGTTATACAACTACCCCTAACCCCTACACTGGCTTAACTCGTACACATAAATATGTGTCTTATAATGAGGCTACCCCGTATAAGAGACACCCGGATAATAGACACCTCCTATCTTCTATTCAACACTGTCTTATATTCAGGTGATGCCGGTAGGTATCGGTAGCTATCTATTATATGCTGTCATGATTATCAATCTCCCATTTCAAATGAGGTGGTTGTACAACGGTGTACTGGTACTGGTAGTCCAATATTTTCTTGTAGCACCTCCATCCTTCGCACTTATCGAATGTGTACCTACATCAGCCCTCACGTACTAAATGATACGAGAGTCCCGACATCGCCAAAACTCTACAGTATCGCTGGTCCATATAAATCTAATCCAAATGAGAAATTCATCTGTTGACTTCGCTGTTGCACTCTCTCATGTCAGATGACCTACATAGGGGATCCGACACCCCATTGATCGTAAGGGGATTACAAGCATGTTAGCTTAAGAGACATAAATGATACATTAGTAGTTAAAAGGTAGGAGCCATAGCTAGGGTTTAGCTAGCTAGGGAAGAGAAAAGTAGGCAAAGGAGGGTTTGACTAGAAAGGAGGGAGGTACAAATAGCAAGCCCTAAAAGGGTTATACTCACTATTGAGTACCCCACTACAGACTAGACAATCATTATATTTTGACACACCCTCATAGTTAAAATGAGGTATAATCAGTATAGCAAGCAGTCACAGAGCAGGTTCACAAGCACAAGTAAACCTAGAGGCAGTCGCAGAGGGCAAGTGAGGAGGAGGAGTGACTGTGGGAGGAGAGGAGATGGGAGGCGACGGCGGAAGCTGCAGATATACGGCGCAACTGGAGCTACTGGCACACGGACAACTGGAGCAACTGGCCCACCGGGAACTGGAGCAACTGGCACACGGGCAACTGGAGTAACTGGCTCCGCGGCTAGACGAGCAGCAGGAGCAACTGACCCACGGGCGACCGGAGCAACGGGCTCACGGGCGACTGGAGGGACGGGCTCACGGCCGACCAACGCAACGGTCTCACGGGCGACTGGAGCGGCTGGCTTCACGGCGGCCACCCCCCCTTCAACCTCCCCCTTTGTCCCAAAACTCCTGTTTACACCCCCTGCAGCACCCCTAGGTTCATTCACACGCCACCCCCCTCGTACCACTCCGACGGTTCCAACACATCCACCCCCCTCAGCGGGAGCTGCAGCAGTGGGAGACGGAGGAGGAGGAGGAGCAGGGGATGGCGAAGACACCCGTCACACCCATACCCGCCTCCCCCACACTCGCCACCCCCAAACCCTAACACGGGCAACACGGGGCAGGAGCGCGGGGGACGGCGCGCGGCTCCCCAGGGCGTCACGACGGGACCGCAGGGGCCGCGCGCGCCTTGCCAGGGCGTCGCGATAAGACGGCAGGGGCCGCGCGCGACACCTTAGGGCGTCGCGACGGACGGGCGGGGGGGGCGCGCGCGGCTCCCCAGGGCGCCGCGATGGAACAGTGGGGGTGGCGCGCAAGGAAGAAGAGGGGCCGCGCGCCAGAGAGTAAACCGCCGCGCGCTGCGTTGCACGCCACGGGGCGCGCGACACACCGAGTAGCAGCGGAAGCAGGTAGGTGGGCCCACATGCCAGGAGCGAACACGCTCTGATAGCATGTCATAGGAGTAGTTAAAAGGTAGGAGCCATAGCTAGGGTTTAGCTAGCTAGGCAAGAGAAAAGTAGGCAAAGAAGGGTTTGACTAGAAAGGAGAAGGGAGGTACAAATAGCAAGCCCTAAAAGGGTTATACTCACTATTGAGTACCCCACTACAGACTAGACAATCATTATATTCTGACAATTACATAATGTACGATACAAAACCGTTGGCAAACGGTTTGGGGGTGGTGGGATGGCAACCTTGAGCGTTCCATAGCTACCTGTATGGTTGATGATAGTAAGGGGGGAGGTTGAATCTGACGACATTCACATTCGAGATACCAGTGTGTCCCTGTTATCTGCTGAAGGTACAACGATATATGCCCTCCGTACTGCTACGCAATATGGAAGTCGCAACTTATCAACCATGACCCATTATAACACACCATCCACCGACCATCACATCCAGCCTATACCTCAATTAACGTGCCACTGTTGAAATTATCATAGTTGACAGCACCGATGGTATGAGCCACTTCTACAATAGTGGTGTCGGTTAGTACCAAAGCCCACTAGGCATTTTGCACGATTCAGCGAATTTGTATATTGAATCATTTATCACACGTACCTTATGTCGGCTGGATTTGTTATACTCGCGCGTTTGCATGGTAGAAAAATTAGGGATCAGGTTACAGATAAAAGTTTTGCATATTTTTGTACTCGTATCTTACGTTTGACGAAGTGCGACTGGGGTGGATTTATTATTTCCCTCGCTTTTGCATGAGTTTGTTTCTAAAATATGTATATATAAAGTATTGATAATATGTTTGTCTCGATTGCAACTGTCAAATAAATACGTATAATTCCGCTAATTTGATTCAGTGCAGCCTGTATGAATATGGACGTGTCACTTTACGTGTGAGCCTACTTAATATGATGAAATGTATGGCGTTTTTAAAATCTTTGTGGAATATTAAAAAATAGAACCTTTACGGACCTGCTTAGAACAAGAGAATTTATTGTATATAGGGCTAATAAAACCCTTATATTGGTTAACTTCTAGTGGTAAATTGTTTCTATGCCTTTTTTTTGGTAGTTTTTTTCTTATAGAAATCCACCGTAACCTGAAAGGTTTGTTGGACAGAACATGCAACCTGTGGGTTGGTGAATGCAGAAAATGAAATGTAAATAAAGCATACCACTAGGAGTAAATGCAGCAGCATTCATGATGATTAGCATGGCTTGTGTTGGAAAAATAGAATGGTAATTAGCTGCGAAAGCTGAAAGTCAAGGTGCGTGGCGATAATAATCAAGCGCGCGGATCCACCAAAGTGCGCAATATTCTCCATCACCAAATCCACCATTTTCAACATCGTTTCCCAAGCAAGGCAGCATACTAACTGTAGCAGTCCAGAGCTGCAAAGTTCCCGATGTTCCATTCACTGAAACGAAGAATCTCCTTAGGGCGTGTGTGAATCTAGTTTCCACCTTAAGTTTAGGTTTGTGACTCGATTGTAGCAAGTGAACACTAAGCGAACCTGACTCGATTTTGAGGGTTTGCAAGGTTCGAACCGCAAGTGTCAAAAGTTGTTAACTCACAACCACTCGCGCAAGTGCGAATCTGCAAGTTCGAGCCTGTAGGGGGGGAACCGAACCGCTTCTAGTGTACATAGGCTACCCAGTATCGGCATCTTGACAGCTCGACACGTCAACGAATGACACGAATTCGTTGCGAGTGTCGCACATTCCGCGTACGTGCCTGAAACCACACACGTTCACTACAACGTGTAAAACCACGTTTGCTCATTTACTCGAATCATGTTCACTTTTCGGGGCTCGAGTTTCGTGCGTGACAAAGTGAACAAGGCATTGGCGAAAACGTTTGCGAAAATTGTCGAATCTGGTTACCACACTAGGTTCGATCCCATTTTCGAGCTGCAATTAGATTCACACACGCCATTAGACAGCGCAGTGACAGCTCAACGACAGCTCAGTTACTAGTCCCGGACTAGGCACACAAGCGCCTCATGTACCACGGTACCCAAGGCCGCGGACCGAATGCGACTGCTATTGCGAGTGCGACTGCGAACGCGACTCGGAGTGCGAGTGCGGGTGCGAGTGCGACTTACGCTTTTGCGACTGCGAAATGCGATGGCGAATGCGAGCGCGAGAAGAGTATGCTTAGAAACACCTCGTATCAATCTCGCTGTTTGCCTCAGCGTTACTACCGTCTGCCCGCCTTGCCGTCTTTTGCGGGGTCTTCGCATCCCATGTCCTCTGCCCCACCTCACCCATCTCCGCTTATGCACCTCACCGACCCCGCACCTCACTCATTCCCGCACTTCCTTTTCCCATCCACGAATCTTGAGAACTCCGCACTTAGTAGCGCCGTATCGCCCACACATCCCAAGAATGTCTGGCCCTCGTACTATGTACTTTTGAGGCGCTGCAAAAGTACTATCTTCCTATAGGCTTTGCTGCATTCTAGATACAAATCTTGAATGTAGTAGCACAAAACCTACAGGTACTAGTACATCATAGTACGAAGCCCTCCCATGTTGGGGGGGATGGCATTTTCAATCACTGCGAATCCGGCGGCCGCGTCACAGTAACTCCCTTTGAGGCACCTCAAACGGCGTCACAGTAACTCCCTCACCTCCTTCCCTCTCCCCTTCCCCCCCTCCGCCCCGCTCCACCTCACGCCCTCCTCCTCCATCTCACTCCTGCCCTTATCCTCCCGTATCACTCCACTCTCCCCCGGTCCCTTACACACAGACTCTCATTCTCGCCCGGCGGAACAGGGCGTGGGAAGTCCTGTTCTGCCTCAAAACTAGTAGCGCCCTCCTCCGTCGCACTCCCTGTCCTCATCCTTCCGCATCACTCCCCTCCCCTGTCCCTTACACACACAGACTCGCACTCTCGCCCCTGGGGAACAGGGCGTGGAAACCCGCCGGGGCACAGGGCACAGGGGCAACGCGGGAGAAGCAGCAGAGACTAGTACTCTCGGCATGGGTGGAGAGGGCTGCGGAGAGGTCAGTAGCGGCAGCAGCAGAAGAAAGGGGAGTGCGCGCATAGGGTGTCCTGGTCGCAGTGGCGGCAGAGGCGGCAGTGGTGGTAGTGGTGACCATGTGAGTTCTAGCCACAGTGGTCGCAGTGCTAGTGTTAGCAGAAATCCTTTGGTTGCTTGCAGCAGTACCGAAGCAGCTTGTAGCAAGGCAGTGCGGGGGCCCGCGCATCGCTTTGGAAGAATCGGCAGGCGAGACTCGCCCTCTGCGCTGCCTCATCAGCAGGCTGACAGCAGGCAACCAGCTAGCAGCTCGTTTGGATCCAGGGAGAGGAATTCAGAGGGGGTAGAGAGAGGTGGGGAGCGGTCCGGAGCGCAGCCACTGCAGCGTGGACGAGCATGGGGGAGGGTTTCAAGAGGGGGGTTTGCGCACGGGGCTCTGCTCTCCTGGCACGTGTGGGCGGCTGTGTTTGCCGTGGCTGCTCTTCTCAGCAGCAGCAGCAGCGTCCGTTTCTGCCGCCCGGTTGCAGCGTCCATCTTGCCAAGCCAATGTATGTTTTACATTCCGTACCATCATGCACCAGCATTCCGTTTCTCCCCCCCCTTCTGTTCCTCTTCCTCCTAGTCTCCTCCAACCCCTCTTCCTTTCCTTCCCGTGTCTATTCCCTCGTTCGTCTCCAGGGGCTTTCCCCTCATTCCCCTGTACCTATTCTTTCCCGTTCTTCCCAATCCCCCAACCCCCCTCTCCCTTTTTCCCTGGCCCACCTGCCTCGTCCATCTCTCTTTAACCGCCGCTTTTATACCATTCCCTGCCTTCTCCCCTCCGCAGTGCACTGTCTTTCGCCCGTCTCATCTCCCTCTCCCCGTGTCGCCCTTTTCCCCCACTTTCCAGTTGAATCCAACCCCTTCCCCCACCTCTGTCTGTCCGACGTCCCCTCACCTCTTCCACGCCTCCTTCCCCTCTTCCCCTCTTTCCCTCTCTCCCTCCCACCCGATTTTCTCCTCGAATCTCTCACCCACCCCACCTCTCCCATCTCTCCCCCCGCCACCCACCCTCTCCCGCCTCCCTCTCCCCGACCCACCTCTCCCCTCACTTCCCCCCCGCGCGCTCACCACACCCCTCAGGGCAAGTGCTGAATGAGCTGAAGCTGCAGTGGGGAGGAGCAGGAGCGTTCCCAGCTGCGGCCACGTGGACAGCGGGAGCCATGTGCCAGGCGCTGCTGGGTGTGACCTGCGATGCGAGCGGCGAGAACATCCTTGGCCTGTCAGTCACCCACCCGCCTCCCTCCCTCCCTGCCCGCATGCTGCGCTCCCTCCCTTCCTGCCTGCCTGCCTGCCTGCCTGCCTGCCTCCCTCCCTCCCTCGCTGCCCGCGTACCACCCTCCCTTCCTGCCTGCCTGCCGACCTGCCAGCCTGCCTCCTCCTCCTCCTCCTCCTCCTCCTCCTCCTCCTCCTCCTCCTCCTCCTCCTCCTCCTCCTCCTCCTCCTCCTCCTCCTCCTCCTCCTCCTCCTCCTCCTTCTCCTCCTCCTCTTCCTCCCACCCTGGCTTCCTGATTACAAGGAATTGCCTTGGAATCGCCTTGCCTTGCTCTGCCTTGAGTGTTGCCCGCCTTGAGTGCGATTTACGCACTGAGCTAGGGGTGGCGCGTGTAGTGCTGTGCAGACAATTATTCATGCAGAGTGTGGGGTGCCATGCCTGCAATGAGTTCAGCAGGAGTGCGGTTTAGTGGGGTGCAATGAAATGCAGTTTGGTAACTGTATCCTCTTACCGCCTTCCCTTCCAGTAGCTTGCCAGCTTACGCTCGTCGGAGTCCCCATGTGCCATCGCAGTCCCCATGTGCCATCGCAGTCCCCATGTGCCATCGGAGTCCCTTGGCGTCTCTGTGTGCCCGCAGCTTCTTTTGACATGTTGGAGAAACAGTCCCAAAGAATGCGCTGCGCTGCGCCGCGGCCCCCCTTTTTCTTCCCGTGTCCCTCATCTCGTGCCTCGTCCACCTTGTGGTGTGTGCAGGGTGCTGGATTCGCAGAACATCAAAGGGTCCATCCCAACGGCCATCACAGGGCTCGTCTCCCTGCAACTGCTGTGAGTGCCAGCAGCAGCTGGGAAGTGCTGCGATGCGAGTGCTGCGAGTGCTGTGAGTGTTGCGCTGTAGTGGGTCGAGGAGGCGAAGGGGAATGAGCGGATCGGATAAACGTGTTGTGTGAAGTTTGTGCATGGCTCCATGTACCCATGCTGCTACCACCTTTTTTTGAGGCGCCTCATAAGTTGGCTCCACTCCACGTACCTGTGCTGCTACCACCTATGTTGTAGTTTTGAGTCGACTCAACTGCATATGTAGTGCCTGCTGATTCTCATATGCTTGCGCGCATGCCTGCATGCGCGTGCGCGCGCGTGCGTGTGTGCGTTTCTGTGTGGCGTGTGTGCATGCGCGCATGCTTGCGTGCATGCGTGCACGTGTGCGTTTTTGTGTTGTGTGCATGCATGTGTGCGTGTGTGCGTGTGTGAATGTGTGCGTGCGTGTGTGTGCATCCTGCGGCCTTGACAGAAACCTCAGAAACAACCACCTCTCTGGTAACATTCCAATAAATATCAACTCCCTCGGAGCTCTCACAGCATTGTACGCTCTCTCACGGCCTTGTTCCACCCTCCCCTCCTCTCCCCTTCTCCCATTCCCTCATTTTTCTTCATCCCCTTCTCCCATTCCCTCATTTTTCTTCATCCCCTTCTCCCATTCCCTCATTTTTCTTCCTCTCATTTTAAGACATAGGGTCATAAAGTCATAAGGTCATAAGTTCATAAGGTCATAAGCTCATAAGCTCATAAGGACATTAGGTCATAAGCTACCAACTCACACCCAGCATTGTTTTGCCGTTTGGCATCAAAACCCTCTGTTCTCGCCGCCTTCCCATGGTATTTCGCTGACTCGCTCGCTCGCAGGGATTTGGGGAACAATGAGTTAACGGGATCCATACCTCCTGGGCTCTCCGCTCTCACCAGGCTTCAGATTCTGTGAGCTCACCATGCCGTTCCATGCCATGCCATGCCCTGCACTCCTGAGTCCCATCCGACTATGTGACCATCTGCCACTGTGCCTGTCTCCCTTGGTATGCCCCCGCCGTCCCATCCATCCCATATGCCTCATCTCTTCCAGTCCGCTCCATGTTGTGCAGGCGTGTGGGGAGCAACAAATTGGACGGGTGGATACCAGCAGGATTGAATGCACTTTCTGTCTTGACCAGACTGTGAGCCACGCCACTCCTCCAGCACTTCTTACCTCCTCTTCCTTTCCCTCCCTCCCTCCCCCCCTCCCTCCCTCCCTCCCTCCCTCCCTCCCTCCCTCCCTCCCTCCCTCCCTCCCTCCCTCCCTCCCTCCCTCCCTCCCTCCCTCCCCCCCTCCCTCCCTCCCTCCCTCCCTCCCTCCCTCCCTCCCTCCCTCCCTCCCTCCCTCCCTCCCTCCCTCCCTCCCTCCCTCCCTCCCTCCCTCCCTTTCTCCCTCCCTCCCTCTCTCCTTCCTTTCCTCTCTTTCTCTTCCGCCCCTTTCTCCCTCCCTCTCCGTCCCTTTCTCCCTTCTTCCCCGTATGCACATCTGTCATCCTCTTCCCTTCCTCTCGTGCTCTCCCAGTCACGCACGCGCTAACAAGACTTCTTTCTCTGTGTCCATGCCTCCATCTCTCTCGCTGGAAAGCGAAACACATTGCATTGATTCTGAGTCGAGAAAGTATTAGCCCGTTGTTGTATCCACCTCAGTGCCTGCCTGCCTGGGGAATGCGCTCCTGTAATTTCCACTTGACCTGTCAAATCAAATCGTGCGTACATTTGTGTGTGACGCATCTCCCCATGTCTTGCTCGTGGCTTGCTGGCTTCGTGCTTTGTGACTGCATGGTTTCATTTCATGGCAGGGATTTGAGTGGCAACCAGCTTACTGGGCCCATACCTTCCGGTTTCTCCTCCCTGAGCAAGCTTGAATACATGTAAGCACCACACCGCACCACTATACCATGCTATACCATCCCATTTTTCCCAATTCCTCACACCGTTGCCATCCCACTCCTGCCATGCCATGCCATACCAAGCCCTGCACTCCCGAGTCCCATTCGACCATGTGACCATGTGCCACTGTGCCTGTCTCGTTTGGCATGAGTATGCCCCCCTGGTCCCATTTCATACCATCCGTTCCGTGTTGTGAGCAACAGATTAGACGGGCAGATTTGAGCTCACTCTCTTTCTTGACCAACCTGTTAGCCATGCACGCCACTCCTCCAGCACTTGTTGCCTCCTCTTCCTTTCCCTCCCTCCCTTCCTCCCAGCAACGCAGTACACATTGCATCGGCTCTAATTCCAATGAAAATCTTCCCGTTGTTGTGTCTTTGCCTTTTGACCCCAGTGCCTGGGGCACGTGCGCCCGTATGTCCCAGTTGAGCCATCGAATCGGAATCAGTTTGAAAATGAATACCTTGCGTGCGTACGTGTGTGACGTATCTCCTCGTGACTTGCTCGTGGCCTCATGCCTTCATGTCGTGGCCTCATGTCTTCATGCCGTGGCTTCATGGCAGGGATTTGAGTGGCAACCAGCTTACTGGGACCATACCGTCGGAATTCTCCGCTCTGACCGCACTTATAGAGCTGTAGGCAGCACATCCCTCCGCACCACACGACACAGCACGACTCAACATGATGCGACGCGACACGACGCGACACAACACGACATGACACGACACGACACGACACGACACGATGCGACGCGGCGCGACAGGACACGACACCGCACCACACCACACCACTCCACTATCTCTATCCGTGCGCCTCGAAGCGGTGCATGAATATTTGCGTGCTTTGGGTGCATGGTGTCATCAGTGGGGAAGTTGCTCTTGAGGCGCCTCAAAAGTGCTTCCGGCACATGCTGTCATCAGTGAGGAAGTTGCGCTGTGCCCAATATCACACACACATGGCAGCTGGAGACTGGAGTTTCTTCATCCTTTCCCCCTCGTGCTGTTCCTTTCAAAGGTTGTGTCACTCTTATTATCCACCCCCATAACTCTTTGAGTGGGATTAAAGTCGACCTAATGGATTATGGCATGGAATGTGTTCAGTTTGGTTCATGCGGTGCGAACAAGGTGTCACCCGGAAAGGCACCGTGCAGCCCAGCAATTACACGCACACTCATTTCACCCTGCCTTTCCAGTCCCTCACTCCCGCTTCCACTCCCTCCCATTCCACCACCTCCTTTCCTTCTCTCCCCCTAACCCTTATCTCTCTGTCTTCTCATCCCACATCCCACTTTTCCCCTCGTGCCCCATCACCACCCTCTCACACCCTCACTCCCTCACACCCTCATTTCATCACACCGTCACTCACACCCTCACACGCCTCACACCCTCATTCCCTCATCCCCTCACATCCTCACCTCATCACTCCATCACCCCCTTTCTCCCGCCCATCACCCTCCATCACCGTGCTATCACTCTATCACCTCAAATCACCCACCTTCACCCCCCTCCACCCTCCGTCACCTCCCATCACCCCCCATCACCCCTCTTCGCCCCCCATCATCAGGCAGCTGCAGAACAACCAACTCAGCAGCAGCTTGCCTGCAGAGCTGCACAACATGGTCTTGTTATACGTGCTGTGAGTTCCCTTGCCACTGCCCGTGAGTTGACGCACACATGTGTGTGGGGTGGGGTGTGTGGGGTGGGGTGCACGCAAGGTGGAAAAAACCGGTTGTCGAAAAATCAATCTGTTTTTTACGGTACCTTTTGGAAAAAAATGACGATTTTTTGTTAGAGAAAAAAGGCAAAAAAATTGAAGATGTTGCTTTGAGCAAGACAAACACCTCACAACATCTCTTGGTGCACCAGCAGCACTCCTAATGGCCCTCTTGCTCTACTTGTGAAAAATTGCCCATGTTACAACAGCAGATAAGAGATTACCTGAAATAGACGATGGCTTTACCACCCAAATGCCAGTTGCTTTTTTATGGTTTTTTACGATTGATTTTTACGACACGGTATTTTACGGTAAAATTCTGAAAAAGGACGTCATTTGTTTGCACCTTGGGTGCATGCATTTGGGGTGGGGTGCATGTGTGTGGGGTGGGGTGAATGTGTTTCTGGATGTCGATATGCTCCATTCTCAGACGATTAAATAAACACTGGGAGTGATTTGAGACTGGTGTTGACAAAAGCTCCCACTGATTACATTTCAAGTGCCAGTCACTCTTGCGTGCAGCATGCATGCTCCTCTGCATGTCTGCGTTTGCACCCTTTCCTTTCATCCTGGTTTGAGGCTTGCTAAGAAGGGTGTCGCTCACACACACAATCAACTGCTCAAACTCCCGTCTTTTCGTGTTTGTTGTTGCAAGTGAGAGAATTGATGCATTGAATAATGAGCCAAGAGGCTCTTTAGTACAAACAATGAGCAAGAGAGAGATGAGAGGGAAGCTTACTCTATTGGCCAATAAGTTGGCCAATGGGTGAGCTTGCTTGTGACCCAAGCAACCACAAATGTGTGTTGGTTGGGATTGGTTGAGCTAAGGACCAATCCCAACCAACCACAAAATGTGGTTGGAGGGTACACTAAGCAACCCCCCAATTGATAAAATGTGCTACACTTCTAGCCTATGTATGTTGTATAAAATATGAAATTACAACACAACCCCCCAACATGCATAAGGCTAGAAGGCTAGAATCAAGAGGCGGGAGGAGACTTAGGAGGAGTGAGGCCAAGAAGACGAAGTAGGAAAGAGTGAGCGGCATGAGGAAGAGCTTTTGTGAAGATGTCGGCAAGGTTGGCCGCCGAGTCAACCTTGTCGAGGCGAAGGTGCCCCGCCTGAACAAGATCGCGAATGAAGAAATGACGGAGCTCAATGTGCTTGGAGCGCCCGTGAAACACAGCATCTTTGGTGAGGTGAATGGTACTAGCATTGTCACACCAAATTGTGGGACAGCGCTGGGGGGCACCAAGTTCCTCAAGAAGGAAGGTGAGCCAGCGGGCCTCTTGCGCAGCCATGGTGGCGGCATACAATTCCGCCTCGCAGGAGGAGAGGGCTGCAGCCGAGGAGCGGGTGGAGCGCCAGCTGATAAGGCCGCTGCCAAGAGAGAAGCCATAGCCCTGGGAGGAGCGACGATCTGGCCGGGAATCAGCCCAGGAGGAGTCACTGTAGCCGCTGAGGAGAGGTGGGGAGGGGCCGCCAAGGGTAAGGACATAGTCCTTGGTGCCACGAAGGTACCGGAGGACACGCTTGGCGGCCTGCCAGTGCTCTTCCGTATGCTTGCCTGCGCCAACAAAACGAGCGAGGACGCTGATGGGGTAGGCAAGGTCAGGGCGAGTGGAGACCATGGCGTACATGAGGGAGCCGATGAGCTCGGGATAAGGATGGGAGGAGGCTGAGGGGGAGGTGGGTTGAGAGAGGTGGTGCCCGACAGAAAGAGGAGTAGGTTGGGCGCCACCGCGGACCATGTCAAACCGCTCCAAGACCTGCTGCAAGTAATGACCCTGGGAGAGAGAGATGGTGCGGGCGGAGCGGTCGCGGGTGATGGTCATGCCCAGGTAATGCTGCAGCTCTCCCAAGTCCTTGCACTTGAGTCGGCTACCCAACTCAGCCTTAACACGTTCCAACTCAGCAAGGTCGGCGGTGAGTAGAATCATGTCATCGACATATACAAGGATGTAGAAGGGGGAGGGGGAGGTGCGGAGGAAGAGGCTGGCGTCGGAGCGGGAGGTGCGAAACCCAAGTTCACCAAGGGTGGCGGCAAGCTTAGCATGCCACTCTCTAGGGGCCTGTCGGAGCCCATAGACAGGTCGACGCAACTGCCAGACAGAGTCTGCTGGGAAGGGAAGGTGAAAGCCGGCTGGACGCTCCATGTAGATAAGCTCGCGGAGGACGCCTTGTAGGAAGGCGTTAGAAACGTCCATCGAGTGGATCTCCATATTGAGGCGAGCGGCGAGGTCGAGCACGGCGCGAACAGTAGCAGGCTTGGCAGTAGGGGAGAAGGTATCGAAGAAGTCAAAACCATACCGCTGCGTGAACCCCTTGGCGCAGTAACGAGCCTTATAGACGGGCGGCTCCCCTGGCAGCTGCTTGACGCGAAACACCCACTTTCCTTTCACCACGTTCGTAGGGGCGGGAGGGCGAGGCACATCGACAAAAGAGGAGTTGCCGATAAAGGCCTCCAGCTCCTTGATGATGGCGGCGAGCCATAGCGGAGCGTCAGGGCACGCCATTGCCTCCTCGTACGTGGTAGGAACGAAAATAGAGGGAGCAGAGGAGAAGGCGAAGACAGGTGTGCCGGAGAGATCGAACGTGATGGGTAGAAGCAAGGAGTCATAAAGGTGGAGGTCAAGGAACTCCTCATGGGAGTCCTCAGAGAGGGAGGTGTGGAAGGCGCGGATGACTGCTGGTGCCGCTGCTGGTGCTGCTGGTGGAGGCGTTGCCGGTGCCGGTGCTGGTACTGCTGCTGGTGCCGCTGCTGGTACTGCTGCTGGTGCCGCTGCTGGTGCCGCTGCTGGTCCTGTTACTGGTGCCGATGCCGCTCCCGCTGCTGCTGCCGCTGCTGGTCCTCCTGCTGCTGCTGCGGCTGCTGGCGCTGCTGCTGCTGCCGCTGCTGGTCCCGCCGCTGCTGCCCGCTGCTGGTCCCGCTGCTGCTGCTGCTGCTGGAGCCGCTGCTGCTGCTGGAGCCGCTGTTGGAGAGGTGGCTGAGGGGGCTGTTGCATGAGGGGCTTGATGCAGGACAGCCTGGAAGAAGTGACGAAGGAGGGGGGAGAGAGGGGGGAGGGTAGAGGTAGAGAGGGTAACGGGAGGCGGTGCACCAAGGATACCGTCACGTGACCTGGTGTGGGGATACCGGGTGAGTATGGTGTTGGAAGGCGGAGGAGTGGTTAGTGGCGAGGGAGAGGAAGGGGGGGGGGGGGAGGGGTACTAGGAGAGGAGTGAGCGGGGGAGACAGGGGAAGACAGAGGTTCCGGGTCAAAGATGTCACCGGAAGAGGGAGGGGCACCATGGGACTGGGACGGCGGAGAAGGGGGGGGTGGGAGGATGGGGGGAGGAGGGAGTAGTGGGGGAGGGGTGGTGTCAGACCAGACAAGGGGACGGGTGAGAGGGGGGAGTGGGTCAGTAGATGTGGGAGAGGAGTAGTAGGGAGTGGACTCGTCAAAGACCACATCCCTGCTGCGGATTAGACGACCGGATGGGGGGTGGAGGAAAAGGTAGTCGGGGGAGGAGGGATTATGACCAAGGAAGATGCAAGGAAGGGTACGAGGGGCAAGCTTTCCCATGGAACGGGAGCGGTCAGAGGGGTGAATGAGGACATGTGCCTTAGAGCCCCAGACACGAAGTGAGGAGGCATCAGGCTTGTCCTTCGTCCACAGCTCAGTGGGGGTGATGGAGGGGACAAGTGGGTGAGGGTAAAGGTTAGTAAGGAGGGCGGCATGAAGGAGGGCGTAGCCCCAAAGAGAAGGGGGGCAGGAGGCGTGAACAAGCAGACACCGGGCTGTTTTGGTGATCTCTCGAACACGACTCTCAGCCACGCCGTTCTGTTGTGGGGAGTGAGGGAGGGTGTAAGTCTGAAGGATGCCATGAGACTGACAATAGGAGGAGACTTGGTTGTTAAGAAACTCACCACCTCCATCAGAGTGAAGGCGGTGAACAGGGCGTCCAAAATGGGTGTTTGCCCGCTCGAGCCAGGCGATGATCGCTGCCGGGGCATCCGCCTTCGTTCGAAGGAGAGAGACGGATGAGTACCGACTGTGATCATCAACAAGCACGAGAAGGTAGCGATGGCCCTGGCGAGTAGGAGAAGGATTAGGGCCCCATAGGTCCATGTGAACAAGATCAAGTGGCTGCGCAGCAGCGGAGGGGGAGCTCCGGTGCGGCTGCTACTTGAGCTTGCTCTGAACGCAGACGGTGCAGGGGGGTGCAGGGGATTTGGGGAGGGGAGGGAGGGAGGAGGGGAGACCGTGGAGGAGACCGGAGGAGACAGAGGAGCGCAGAGTAGCGAAGTTGGGGTGGCCTAGCCTGTGATGGAGGAGGATGGTGGGGTGGGAGAGGGAGCGACAGGAACAGTCAGAGTCAGGAGGGCGGGGGGGGAGGGGTGGGTTAGTGGGAGGAAGGGGAGGGGGGGGGGGGAAGGAGGGGGGGGGGAGGCAACTTGGAAGGTGAGGGGGCGGGGAACCCGAAGGGTGTACAGACGGGAGCGAGGACAATAGGGAATACGGGCGAGAAAACGACCTGTGGAGGTTTGGTATAGGTCACAATGGTTAGCACCACCTGGGATGAGAGTGGTGATCATGGCTTGTTGGAGGGACCTTTGGGAGAGGAGGTTAGTACGAAGGGAGGGAATGTGGAGACCGGTGACAGTACCTGAGGGAAAGAGAGGACAGGGAAGGGTGGAGGTGTTGTGACAGGGGATGGAAAAACTGCTATCAGCGCCGAGGAGGGAGGTTGGTGTGGGGAGAGGGCGCAGTGTACCAGCGTCGCGAAGGACAGTGTCAGTGGCTCCACTGTCCAGAACGAAGTCAATGGTGGAAGAAGGTGAGACAGAGTACTGGAACGAAGTTTCATTAGCAGAAGAAGGGTACATGGGAGATGCAACAGATTCAGGTTGACCTAATAAACCAACAAAACCAGAGGAAGGGAAAGCGGTCACACTGCCACCTGCAGACGGCGCCGGGGATGCACCCGAGAGATGGGCTGCAGAGGCAGCACTCCCAGCAGTCCAGGTAGGAAAGTGCTGTTGCTGGGAAACCGGAGGAGGAGGGAGGAGGGGCAGTTGCGGCTGGAGGTCGAGCTGCTGCTGGAGATGCTGGAGCTGCTGCTGGAGCTGAGAGAGGAGAAGCTGCTGCCCATACTGCTGTGACCCCTGCTGCTGATTCCCAAGCAACTGCTGCTGCTGTTGCTGCTGCTGGTGCTGCTGCTGGGGAGGGGCGAGGGCTTGGTGAGCGTGGGTGGAGGAGGGAGGTTCATAGAGGGGAGAGGAACGGACCTCAAGGGGAGTGGGGCGAGGGTTGAGGGCGGACCAGCGAGGAGGGGTGCCGGTGTTGCCACGGGCAAACCACTCATCACTGAGTGCCTTGAAGCACGTCTCAGTGGCATGGGTAGTTTGGCCGCAGCGCTGTCCCTGAGTGGGACCGTAGCGAGGCAGATACTGACAGGGAGGAAAGGCAGCTGCCGTACCACGACCTGCACCACTGCTGCCAGCACCACCGCGACCTACTGATCCCCCTCGTCCACCCCCACGCGCACCACCACGCCCACCCCCACGCCCACCGCCACGGCCACCCCGGCTGCTGCGCGACTGGGCTGCTGCGGCTGTGGAGGAAGAGTGGCGAAGGATCTCAGCTTCGGTGGTGATAATCCACTGAGCGACTTCGGCAGGGGTGTGGTGCTTGGAGATAAGCTGCATGTAAGCAAGCTTGTGAGCGTCGAAGGCAGGTGTGAGGCCCTCGAGGAGGTGGCAGCAGATGACGGTGTCCGGGTACACCACATCGAGTGCTGCAAGGCGCCGAGAAAGGTCTAAGACACGGCGAGTGAAAGCAGCTACGCCAGAAGTGGAATCCATGGAGAGAGTTCCAAACTCCTGGATAAGGGCGTAAAGAGTGGCAACGTCCTGCCGATCGAAAAGGTCGACCAGCAGTCGCCACAGGTGGGAGGAGGAGGTAGGTGAGAGCTCGCGTTTGAGGGAGGAGGGGATGGTGGCGAGAAGAATGGCAAGCGCACGTCGATCAGCAACCCGCCAGGCAGTAATTTTCGTGGTGTAGTCTGCAAGTTCTGCAGTGTAGGTGTCCAGGTCCTCCTGGTACTTGTTGTAGCGGGCAGCGGCGTCGTCATAGATGCGCCTGTCATCCTCGTAACGCAGTTGCAGGCGCAGGTGCTCTTGGAGATTGGTGCGGTAGGTGCGAATGGCGGTTTCCGAGCTCTGCGGGTCGTTCACATTCGGCGCAAAGGCGGGAGGATCACCGGGGGGAGAGGGCTCGGCGCCAGGGTGGGCAGGGGCAGGTCCAGTAGGAGCGGTGGGGGCCGCGGGCTGAAGTCCACCGCCTTCCTGAAAGACAACCGAGCGAAGGTTGTAGCCGCTGACCACAACAGAGGAGAGGAGCACCTCGACGGAATGAGCATAAGAGTGCCAATTAGCAGCGGAGTTGTCAGGCAGCAACTCGAGTGCATCAACAGTGGCAAGGTCGACGGAAGAATCGGACGACGATGCCATAGAGATGAGGGTGGGTCGAGGCTAGGGCAGGAGGAGGATGGTGTGAGGGTACCGTTGCCAGTGCTGCTGCTGGCCCTGCTGCCCGTGCCGCTGCTGGTTCTGCAGCTGGTGCCGCTGCGGATGCTGCTGCGGGTAGGATGGGAGGAGGAGGAAGGGAGGAGCGGAGGGTGAGGAAGGTGGAGGAGGAGGAGGGCGATGCTATGGGGGATGCAAGGGGGAAGGGTGCTGCTGGTGGTGCCGCTGCAGGTGCTGCTGCTGGTGCTGCTGCAGGTAGGATGGGAGGAGGAGGACGGTGGATGAGGAGGGCGATGCTATGGGGGAGGCAAGGGGGAAGGGTGCTGCTGGTGGTGCCGCTGCTGGTGCTGCTGCTGGTAGGATGGGAGGAGGAAGGGAGGAGCGGAGGGTGGGTTGGGTGGAGGAGAAGGAGGGCGATGCTATGGGGGAGGGGCAGATCTGGGCGCGCGGAGGGCAGATCTGGGCGCGCGGAGGGCAGATCTGGGCGCGCGGAGGGCAGATCTGGGCGCGCGGAGGCCAGATCTGGGCGCGCGGAGGGCTGATCTGGGCGCGCGGAGGGCAGATCTGGGCGCGTGGAGGGCTGATCTGGGCGGGCGGAGTGCAGATCTGGGTGCGGGAGGAGGAGATCTGGTGGCGCGGAATCCAGATCTGGGCGCGGAATGATCAGATCTAGGCGCGGGAGGAGTAGATCTGGTCGCTGGAGGTGCAGATCTGGGCGCTGGAGGTGCAGATCTGGGCGCTGGAGTTGCAGATCTGGGCGCTGGAGGTGCAGATCTGGGCGTTGGAGGTGCAGATCTGGGCGCTGGAGGTGCAGATCTGGGCGCTGGAGGAGGAGATCTGGTGGCGCGGAATCCAGATCTGGGCGCGGAATGATCAGATCTAGACGCGGGAGGAGTAGATCTGGTCGCTGGAGGTGCAGATCTGGGCGCTGGAGGTGCAGATCTGGGCGCTGGAGTTGCAGATCTGGGCGCTGGAGGTGCAGATCTGGGCGCTGGAGGTGCAGATCTGGGCGCTGGAGTTGCAGATCTGGGCGTTGGAGGTGCAGATCTGGGCGCTGGAGGTGCAGATCAGGGCGCTGGAGGTGCAGATCTGGGCGCTGGAGGTGCAGATCTGGGCGCTGGAGTTGCAGATCTGGGCGTGCCTTGGAGGGCAGCGCCTTAGGGGGCGCACGGGGAGGGAGGACAGCGCCTAAAGGGCGCGTGAAGGGAGGGCAGCTCCGTGGGTGGGGCTAGATCTGAGGAACGGGGAGGAGAGGGTGGCCTAAGGACCGAGGGAGGAAGGCGTGAGCCATTAGCTCATGATACCATGTTGCAAGTGAGAGAATTGATGCATTGAATAATGAGCCAAGAGGCTCTTTAGTACAAACAATGAGCAAGAGAGAGATGAGAGGGAAGCTTACTCTATTGGCCAATAAGTTGGCCAATGGGTGAGCTTGCTTGTGACCCAAGCAACCACAAATGTGTGTTGGTTGGGATTGGTTGAGCTAAGGACCAATCCCAACCAACCACAAAATGTGGTTGGAGGGTACACTAAGCAACCCCCCAATTGATAAAATGTGCTACACTTCTAGCCTATGTATGTTGTATAAAATATGAAATTACAACATTTGTTGCTTTTCTTAAGTCCTTATGTTGTTGCTGCCATGGCAGCAGTAGCACTTCAATATCAAGCATGGCACCGGAACCTCATTCCACCTCCCTCTTGCTTTTTCTCTGCCAGGGACTTGTCAGGAAACAGGCTGAGTGGCAGTCTCCCAATGCTGCCTGCAGTGGAGTTCCTGTAAGGCTCTCGTTCTCTAGTGACTCCCCTCACTTGGCCCTTCATATATATGAGCGACAAAAACAGCAGCGAGCATTGACATAGAGAGGGTAGGCACAAACACACACACTTATAATTGGACCCAGCTCACAGCTTCAAAGTCCCAGCTAGCTATCCCAGAGGCCCCTGGGGCCTTCTTGTTGCATGAGTTTTTTTTTTTTTTTTTTTTGTGTTTGTAAAAGATTCCCAACTGCTGCTAGATTAGCGACATCAAAGTCCCAGCTAACTAGCTATCCCCAGCTCCCGCTTTCTAGGCAGGCAGTGCAAGAGGGGGCTCCAGGAAGGGGAGAAGCTGATGAAATGAAGTGAGGTGCTTTCTGGGAGGCGTGGAAACATATGGGGCAGGTGCCCTCTAGCAACCCCGGTTGGTTCTTCTCAGTAGGCGCCCGCTGCAGTGATGCCCGCTACAGTAACGCCTGCTACAGTAACGCCCGCTACAGTAACGCCCGCTACAGTAACGCCCGCTGCAGTAACGCGACCGTGGCAGTGACTGTAACTGTGGGTAATGACCGTGGCTGACGTTGTCAGACCCAGACCTCAATGGTGTGGGGATGGTGGAATGGAATTCGAGATTCGTGCAATTAGATTCTTGTTCGGCGACGGCGTGAACAGTTCCCCAAAGGACAGAAACTAAATGAAATAAAATTAGCGATATTTATGAAGATATACATGTTTTTTGGTACGCCCTCTGTGTTTGTTTTCTCGCTTAGCCTGGTGGTGCCATGTTTCTCAATGGGTTGGCTTTCCTGCAGAGGCAAACGGCGTTGAGTCAGGGCTAGCGGTTCAATTCAGTTCAATGTGTGGAGGAGAACGTGGCACACGAACGGTCTTGTGCTCTTTCTTCTTCCTCCTGCTCCTCCTCCTCCTCCTCCTCCTCCTCCTCCTCCTACTCCTCCTCCTCCTCCTCCTCCTCCTCCTCCTCCTCCTCCTCCTCCTCCTCCTCCTCCTCCTCCTCCTCCTCCTCCTCCTCCTCCTCCTCCTTGTTGTAATTTCATATATTATACAACATACATAGGCTAGAAGTGTAGCACATTTTATAAATTGGGGGGTTGCTTAGTGTACCCTCCAACCACATTTTGTGGTTGGTTGGGATTGGTCCTTAGCTCAACCAATCCCAACCAACACACATTTGTGGTTGCTTGGGTCACAAGCAAGCTCACCCATTGGCCAACTTATTGGCCAATAGAGTAAGCTTCCCTCTCATCTCTCTCTTGCTCATTGTTTGTACTAAAGAGCCTCTTGGCTCATTATTCAATGCATCAATTCTCTCACTTCCAACATGGTATCATGAGCTAATGGCTCACGCCTTCCTCCCTCGGTTCTTAGGCCACCCTCTCCTCCCCGTTCCTCAGATCTAGCCCCACCCACGGAGCTGCCCTCCCTTCACGCGCCCTTTAGGCGCTGTCCTCCCTCCCCGTGCGCCCCCTAAGGCGCTGCCCTCCAAGGCACGCCCAGATCTGCAACTCCAGCGCCCAGATCTGCAACTCCAGCGCCCAGATCTGCAACTCCAGCGCCCAGATCTGCACCTCCAGCGCCCAGATCTGCACCTCCAACGCCCAGATCTGCAACTCCAGCGCCCAGATCTGCACCTCCAGCGCCCAGATCTGCACCTCCAGCGCCCAGATCTGCAACTCCAGCGCCCAGATCTGCACCTCCAGCGCCCAGATCTGCACCTCCAGCGACCAGATCTACTCCACCCGCGCCTAGATCTGATCATTCCGCGCCCAGATCTGGATTCCGCGCCACCAGATCTCCTCCTCCAGCGCCCAGATCTGCACCTCCAGCGCCCAGATCTGCACCTCCAGCGCCCAGATCTGCACCTCCAGCGCCCATATCTGCAACTCCAGCGCCCAGATCTGCACCTCCAGCGCCCAGATCTGCACCTCCAGCGACCAGATCTACTCCTCCCGCGCCTAGATCTGATCATTCCGCGCCCAGATCTGGATTCCGCGCCACCAGATCTCCTCCTCCCGCACCCAGATCTGCACTCCGCCCGCCCAGATCCGCCCTCCACGCGCCCAGATCTGCCCTCCGCGCGCCCAGATCAGCCCTCCGCGCGCCCAGATCTGGCCTCCGCGCGCCCAGATCTGCCCTCCGCGCGCCCAGATCTGTCCTCCGCGCGCCCAGATCTGCCCTCCGCGCGCCCAGATCTGCCCTCCGCGCGCCCAGATCTGCCCCTCCCCCATAGCATCGCCCTCCTTCTCCTCCACCCAACCCACCCTCCGCTCCTCCCTTCCTCCTCCCATCCTACCAGCAGCAGCACCAGCAGCGGCACCACCAGCAGCACCCTTCCCCCTTGCCTCCCCCATAGCATCGCCCTCCTCATCCACCGTCCTCCTCCTCCCATCCTACCTGCAGCAGCACCAGCAGCAGCACCTGCAGCGGCACCACCAGCAGCACCCTTCCCCCTTGCATCCCCCATAGCATCGCCCTCCTCCTCCTCCACCTTCCCCACCCTCCGCTCCTCCCTTCCTCCTCCTCCCATCCTACCCGCAGCAGCATCCGCAGCGGCACCAGCTGCAGAACCAGCAGCGGCACGGGCAGCAGGGCCAGCAGCAGCACTGGCAACGGTACCCTCACACCATCCTCCTCCTGCCCTAGCCTCGACCCACCCTCATCTCTATGGCATCGTCGTCCGACTCTTCCGTCGACCTTGCCACTGTTGATGCACTCGAGTTGCTGCCTGACAACTCCGCTGCTAATTGGCACTCTTATGCTCATTCCGTCGAGGTGCTCCTCTCCTCTGTTGTGGTCAGCGGCTACAACCTTCGCTCGGTTGTCTTTCAGGAAGGCGGTGGACTTCAGCCCGCGGCCCCCACCGCTCCTACTGGACCTGCCCCTGCCCACCCTGGCGCCGAGCCCTCTCCCCCCGGTGATCCTCCCGCCTTTGCGCCGAATGTGAACGACCCGCAGAGCTCGGAAACCGCCATTCGCACCTACCGCACCAATCTCCAAGAGCACCTGCGCCTGCAACTGCGTTACGAGGATGACAGGCGCATCTATGACGACGCCGCTGCCCGCTACAACAAGTACCAGGAGGACCTGGACACCTACACTGCAGAACTTGCAGCCTACACCACGAAAATTACTGCCTGGCGGGTTGCTGATCGACGTGCGCTTGCCATTCTTCTCGCCACCATCCCCTCCTCCCTCAAACGCGAGCTCTC